TTTATTTAAAAGATTTCAACTTGAGAACCTCAGCATGACACAATGCATCCACTGTCTCTGGGGCTTGTACTGAATTGACTTTTACTGCTTATTGCTTCATGTCAAATTCCACTTCTTAGTTCCTCATGAAAGATGGTGGTGATGATTTTCACAAAATAAGAACGTCCCCTCTCATGTAAATTCCCTGCCTCCTCTATGTCATGTCATCATGATAATACACCCTAGAGGGAATTCCTTCGCACTTACGCCAAAATGGGTTAGCACTTTTTCCGTGATAACAAAGGAATCCTCAGAAATCCCTGTGTCATCTGCCCGGCCGGCCTGAGAAAGAATTCAGAGAGGTCTGCGAGGTCCCGCTCCCTTTATTGTTGATTCAGCGGCACACACCCCCACCCAGCACCCATAAATGGAGGCAGCCCTTTGTGCGAGGGGAGTGGAGCAGATTTACTGCGGATGGTCCCCCTACAAAGGACCACGGCACTGTCACAACAGGACCAGGATCAGCTGCTCCCTCTTTCACACAGTATGATTTAATGCCGTGCTTCACACAGCCACTGATGCAGACAAAACTTCTGCAGTCACTCTGTTCCTCACCGCAGAGCAGGGAGACGCCTCTCTGACACATTTTGGCCTACACTAAGATGACTTATTTTACTTTTGCGTACTCCAATTCCAGTCTTACTATCGTGCTGTGAGTCCATTTACCAGATTTTCCCTCAACGTTAATAGTGGCCCAAATAATTATTGGTAACAATTGTATTGTGATATCTATAAAAAATGTAAACATAATAAAGTTGTGTTTAAATGTGTTTACTGTGCTCTGTGTGGATGGTATACACTATATTATTATCTGTTGTATTGACAAGTTAATAGCATTATTTTATTTTCAATACGGGTTTATCGCGACATCTCTAGTCAAGAAGTCCTTTAGTCAAATAAATAAAACTCTACGATAAGATGTATAGAAATCAGCCAGATAATCAATAGTACATGCCTCTAATGTGCTGTATAAGCGTTATCCTCAGGAGGGTCAAGCTTTGACTTCAGTTTATTAAAACATAATTCTTTTAAAGCAGCTATATATTTTTTAACTTTGCAAACTGGTCATAGGGTTCCTATTAGCTCATCGACCCATAGAAAAAATGCCCTGGGCCAAATGGCATTTTCATCTCTCCAATAACTTTTGGGTTTGGTTTCCTCCACCAGTCTCTGCTACGTTGACTTCGTTATTGCGAAACAGAAGGAGCCGGCCCTTCTGTCTCTCCAGGGTTTGAGTTTCAGAGCGTTTCAAACTTTGAGCATGAAGGTGGCAAATCAGTGACATTCACCATTAACACTCATGGAACTCTACCAGACAGGGCGTGAAACGTCAAAATGGTAAAAGATATGTAAAATCTGATAAATCAGCATGAAATCTCATCAATTTTTCATGCCTCTTTGTGCTGTATAAATGTATCAATTAGACTGGGCCAGATTTTAAGTTTAACAGACGGCCTCCATTTACAGTAACGACATCCATCTGTTTGCATGTATTGGTTTTATGCCAATGACAACTGCACATTTTGGGCACGTCTCCCTGCCTCTCTCAAAACTCTGGGTTTGGTTTCCTGCACCAGTCTCTGTAATGTCGACTTCATCGCAGTGAAACATGAGAAACAGGCCCTTCTGTCTCACCAGATTTAGACTTTCAGAATTTATTTAATCTAATAGAATGTGAATGAATGCCGCAAATCTGCAAATTTGTCTTGGAGGCGTGTGGCGCAGTGGATAGAGCGTTGGTGTTCGGATCAGGGGGTCACAGGTTCAAAACCCCACTGCAGTCAGCATGTCGTTGTGTCCCTGGGCAAGACACTTCACCCCAAAGTGCTCCTGTGGGGGTTGTCCACAGTATTGAGTATGTAAGTCCCAAAGCGTCTAACAAGTGACATGTAATGTAAAATCCAACTTTCAACATTAAATAACAGTTTGCATCCAACTAAATCTGATCAAAAATGTTATGTTGCCACGAGAGGATTAAACAGACATCTTAAATAAGTTTAACAAAGAAATCCTCCCCCCCCACACACCACACAAACAACCACACACACACACACACACATTGAATCAAACATGAGGGTGCCATTGTTTTTTTTATTACACCTACTTCTGCCAATAATCAAACCTGTTGCTGACTCTGATTCTCCACAAATGAAACGTAATATCTTCACCAGTGATTTAACCAGGGGCCCACACAGACCTCTCTCAAGTCAGCGTTCATTTTGTTCTTACAAAAGTGCAGCTAATCTCTGAAGAAAGACCCCTTCACCTGCAGGGGTCCACCTATTCGACCTGCTACATCTCTCCGGTTTCTCCACTCCCACTGACCCGAGACAATAAGAGGACGGGGGGCTCGGGTTACACCACCACCCGGGGGCCAAAGTGGACATGAAAGTGCCGTTTGTGTGATTGGGACGAACCAGGTAAAGGCATTTACACACCTTTTTGCTCACAGGGAGACACACACAGACCAGACTCAAGTAGCTATTTAAGCAATTTCTTTAGAGTTATCAATAGAAGATCGTAGTGTCAACAGGGATTAACAGTGTTGCAAGCAAAAATGATTTTCTCTCCCTTTAACGCATCCATCCCTTTTTAAATGAATATAAAATGCAACGTAAAATAGATTAGGTTATACCACAGCATCCATGCTATGATGTTTATCTTTCCATGTAAAAGCTTGCATTTGTTTTTCGCATCGTTGTGGACTATCCAGAACAATGATGCAAACAGTGTTAATCATTGTCTAATTAATATTTAATTAGTTTTAAAGATATGATTTCAGTTGATCGTACACAATTTTATTATAATACAAACTAATTACTGGATGAATGCAAAGGATTTCAAAGCATGACTGGATACATGTACTCCAGGCTTCACATCATGTATGTAAACTGCAGATTTAAAACACTACAATTCAAACTGAAATGATTAAAGATTAAGAATTAGGTCTGGAGAATACTGCACAGTACTTTGACGTAAAATGTACATTTATGATAGAGGAAGTAGTAATTCCTAAAAATCATCATTACAAAGCACTTACAACAGAAAAAAAAGACAAAAGGGGATGTGAACAACAAAGTTAAGACTCATCAGCGACAGAGACAGAGACGCCTGGTTGTATGAATGAGAGTAATGTATCTTTATCAAGAAAATGATTCCTTTTCATTAATGATAACAAGCGAAAGCAGACTATAAACATCAGTGGAGAGGATTGCGATGTTTTAGGATCTGATGCATCTGCTACCAAACCCACAGCAACAGAGATGCCATTCACATATCTTACATCTCCAGAGTCATTTGCTGCAATTAGGAATGTGGTTAAGACCCCAACGCACCCCCTTAGCCACTGCCTGCCAACACACCCTCATACAGAAACACACACTTACCAGCTCCAACAAAGCCCACATTGTGTTGTGTTCTGCTGAGGGATTGTGGCCCAGGCCGGTTCAAACTTCACACCAGCATCAAACAGGGGCAGATACATTGATAAAAGTGAGCGGGCGATACAATGAAGCTGTTTTATGTTTCCTGCAGGTTGATTATATCAAAGCTGTTGGATCATGTCACTGCTGCTGGTGGGTGGAAACATTATACCTATTAAATGCCAGTTTTTCAATAACTACGAGGAGGATAGGGGAGTTTGTTGAGCTGTGAAAGATTTTAAGACCTGGATGAATGCCAGGTTTTAGCCAAAAAAATGAGCTTCTGACAATAAATCGGTGTTAAATCAGATCCCTTGTGTTTCATGAACACATGATTAATTATACATGACCATGGTCCTTAGCAGGTGTTATTGATGGGTGCATGCATTAATAATTTACTCAGTTTTTCTTGGATGGATGACCGACCCCCAAACTAGAATATATTGTCTACGTTAAAGTACTCTCACAGTAAAGTTTACCTTCTATTCAGACTGATAAAAGCCCTGGCACTTTGAACTTTTACACTTTGACATGTGTTAGATATTGCTGCCAATAGTCCTTGTTTATATATTTTTAACAAATGTGTAATACTGTACTTTTTGTGTGTACATGAATTGGCTTTCATTTTCTGTTTACACATTTACTTTCCTTGCGTTGAGACAAAGTATTTTGAATTAAATTGAAACAGGATTTATCCTATCAAATCCTGATAGTTGAAATGCAAACGCTTCTAAAGATAGTTTAGCCTTCAAGTGACCTACAGCAGCTTGTCTGTTTCTCTGACTAATTTGGGATGTTTATTTGTACAGCTGACTAGAACACTTGCCGTTATACTTCACCCTACAACAGCAAAATCGACCCGAGTTAGCGTTTCCTTAGCTCTGTCATTACAACTGTATTGCAGATCATAGCCTTTTACAACTGTTGCCTGGAATTGTTTTTTTACTTTAATTCCATTCAAAATACATTATTTATTTCTCAGGTGGGAAATATGCTTTTTTCCAAGGAGACATTTTGACAAGTCACACTCAGAAAACACAAGTGTGGACAATAAAATCAAGATTAGATTACAATTAAGATGCTTTATTGCTCCGTTTACATTGTATAATTAATAACGTAATCAAGTCAAAATGTCTGCTGTAAAAAAGTTAGCAAGCTGGTTTTCAAACATTAAAAATTGCATCACCTAATGCATTCACACAAAAACAATGCAAACATCTAGTTTATAAAGATAAATTAATAAAACGTAATGAATTTGTGGCTAACCTAAAGTGTCTTATATTGTTAAGACATTAAGTTATTCATCATCCAACTGTGTTTACATCCTTACCCTTGGGTGTACTATACAAATGAATGAAGCAACTATCATCACTGGTACTGCTGGCTTTTTAATGTTTTACTCAAATATATATGATGGAAAATAAACTAATTTAAACTGCAGTCACTTCCCGTGGTGGCCGCAGGGGGCGCAGTGAGGGGGTTCAACGCCCGGTGGGGCACGCGCAGCGGCAGCCTGCAGTCAGACAGCACCGGGCAGAGAGGAGAGCAGCCGCCGGGTCACAGGCTCTTCACTTCTTACTACTGGACACACCTGGACCGCGCTGAGATGCTGCTGCAGGGAGGACCCAATGCTGCTTATGTTGCACTTTTATTTTATTATCATTTGCTGGAGCCAACTTTGGTGCTCGCCTTCAACCTGGACACCACTCATGTCATCAGGAAGGACGGAGAGCCCGGCAGCCTGTTCGGGTTTTCTCTCGCCATGCACCGGCAACTCAACCCGGATACCAGAATGTGAGTATTTATTTAAATGCACAGTTCTGTCACATTGTTTGCATTAATCTGCTTGTGATTAAAAGTGCACCTGATGACGGGACAGGTTCAGTTTAATACTCACAGAAGTAAATATTAACTTTTAAAAATCCTCAACCTTATTAATTAAAAAGGTCTAAATTAAGTTTATTCTGGAAAGGAAACTATTCTGCCTTTGCGGGACTACAATCATTTTTATCCACTTGTTGTGGCAGGCATGCTATAACTTGAGAAAGTGACCTAACTGTAGGAGCCCATAGTGTTTCTTGTCGTGTTTTGTTCTCATTTTCAAAAGAAGTTTCCCTGTGGTGCTTTGAATATAAAATGGTAGGAAGCCAAAAGACAACACGGGAATAAACAATGGTTATAACTGTGATGCAAATGTGCATGTAAGGTCCAACTGAGGAGGAGAGAGCAGTGCTGTAATGTTGCCACTTTAGGTCGATCAGTTATTGTTGAATATAGTATTTTAATAGACAATTTATTATTTGTAAAGACAAAACGAGATTCTCAGAAATAATTGGAATAAATAAAGAATAAATGATAGATTGATGGAAATAATGCTACATTTCAGCCCGAGATAGATGATAATTAAACATGTTTTTGTAATCCCAGTTTTTCTAAGAGAGTGTTTAGTGAAAGTGTTTCATTAACCTTGTTCCTGTTAATCAGTAATCTCTAATGAGTGCTCTGTAAAGCAGAACAGACTTAGCAGGTGTATTTCCACACACCAGTTGTATCTCTAAACTCTGATTTATGAACAATACTGAGAAAGGATGTGAATGGCAAGGTAACATAAGCATCCTGTTACAGAAAGACAAATGCAGAAACGATGCATGCCAAGAGTTCAGTTTTCAGCTTGTGCCAAAAGAAGAGTAGTGGTTAAACTGCAAAGCAGCATTTCAGGGATTCCTGATTCTGCTATGTATACAGTCAATCATTTCCTTTGGCACGCCCTGTGGGGGCAGCACAGACGTCAGCGTAGTGAGCCTGTCTGGACAGCCTGCCACGCATAGTGTGACTAGGGTAAAGTGAGAGGGGGTGGCATGGCATATCAAAGCCTGCGACCAGCGTGAGGCTGCATGTAAGATCTACATTGTTATCCGCTGGTTAGCCAGGCAGGACCCTGCAGCAGCATGTTGAGAAACACCCAGCACGGATAAGAAGCCCTGATAACAGAACCTGGAGAGATTTCCCAGAGATCACATGGATTGGGTTTAACTTGTGGAAATGTATCTAAGAAGTGTTTTGACTATTGTGCAACAGAAGCTCATGGTGTAGTGAATGCTTTCAATACACGTAGCATACACAAGAAGCCTGCATCCTTAAAAAAGGCACTTTCACATTTGAATTGAGTGTAAAGAGAGTGAAAGTAATATTTGTTGAGCAAACAGGGGCTCGAAATGTGACACTGGTGTGAAAGTTGCTCCTCACCCAGTAAAAGTAAGAGGAGGGTGAAGATTCACCTCGCTTACAAACTGATGAAGGAGCTCCTGCAGTTTAGAGAAATCTGCCAACATCTGCAAAAGCTGCTTTTTTTGAGAACAGGAACAAACAGCATCACTCTGTTATTGTTAAATTAGATTAGTATTAACATAGATAGAAGGCAGCAATAGTGACTTGACAGAAGGAAATACATTTGCAACAGTATTAAATGTAACAATTCAAAAAAAGAGCTCCTAGTTTAAGAATTTGCTCGGACAGTACAACTATTCTTTAGACGTCACCTTGGGTTCTCGGGAAACTTGAAATAGGCCTCTTTTTAAAAAAAACTATTCTCTGATGTTTTACAGGCTTAACAACTATAGTTTTGGTCTGGCAAAAGTAAAAAAAAAAGAAACGTCAACATCTCCTGAAGCCCGAAGTGACTTTGTCAAATGTTCTTGTTATTTGTCTAAAGTCCCAAACTGAGAAATCATTCAAATTATGATCACACAATGAAAAGAATACATACATTCACATTAGATAAGGCAAATAGCAGATGGCATAAATGCTTTAAAAGTGACTGAAACCATGGACCAGTCTTTCATTTCTGTCAATTCTCTGACTACTGAACAATCTACTACGTCCTCACATCCTGGTTGAAACCGCATTGAGTCGTTGTTTCAGTAAAGAAGCGCTCCACATGCACGCTATCGTTACAGACAGCAGCTCCTCGGCCATGATCTCAGCTCCACATCCTCATGTGACCCTGAGATTATATCAGCCAGACGAGTCGAGTGAAAGCTCAGTAGAGCACACAGAAGTAGGTAATGAACAGCCTTGTTTAACCTTTAGCTGTGAGCACATTGAAGCCACAGATGTGTCACACACTCTGCATCTGTTTTATACTTTTCTGATAGTCACCAGCAGCTGTAAAACTCTACCGGCTGTCACTGCTTACATTAATGCGGTTTTAATGAATCATATGTGAAGAGAAGGGTTCTTTTGAGTGTTTTGTGAGCAACATGTGTGACTAAATAGATTAAATTCTTCCACACCGACCCCCTGCCCTTCAGAGCTAAAAGCCTGATCTTCCCCACTTTACTGGAATAAAGAAAAAACTAATATTCTAAAGATAAAAGTTATTCATATTGCTAACAACAAATCATGCAACTCTCTCAACATTGTTCATGGACAGCACAACCTCTCTGGGTTCATGGACAGCACAACCTCTCTCAGTCCTAATGGTGTTGTCATGTCTTCCTTGATATATTGGTTTGTGATGAGTGGAAGAAATATTCATGTTTCAACAAGAGCCTGAACATAATCTTGCAAAGAGGCAAGTGGGTGCCCCTCCATGAATAATGTGTTGGGTTAATGATGTGGATATAACATCCTCTGAATGAAACCAGAGAAAACGGGTATTTGACTGGACATGCACGGCCATCTGTGCACATGTAACCCGATAGATTAAACCCATCAGTGAATCCTCGCTCGAGACATTCCACTCAAACTGTAGCTCCAAATATGGTTAATAAACACAGATAAAACGGGCGATTACGTCTTGGTTTTAAACTTGTGTCTTCAGTTTATATATTGATTGCTTTGTGTTGAATATTCATGATATCTCCTGGGATGTGTACCCAGCCAATCACAGGTCAGCACCATCAGTGTGTGTTTGTGTGTAAACTGAAACAGTTGGAACAGCTGCAGCACTTCGTGTGTCTTTTGAGTGCACAGCTGTAGCAGCACTGGACCACATCTGTTAACACAGGCCAGTGAGATCACTCTATGTAAACCCACACCAGTCAGTGTGTGTTCCCATTTACACGGCTCTGAAACACACTGCATGATGGGATGGGGTTTCCTACTGTAGTGAAGCTGATACTGGATTAAGGCTCTGTACAGTGCAGATGTAGTGTGCGTTTAAAGTAAAGAGTACATACTGATGCTAGTTTGCAATGCTTATCTATCTATCTATCTATCTATCTATCTATCTATCTATCTATCCATCTATCCATCTATCCATCTATCCATCCATATGCAAGCAAACATTGCATTATTTTATCTTTCTACCGGAAACAGACAGGATAAAATACTAGACGGGCGCGTTGCATGTACATTTTAGTGTTATCCCTCAGTTACTTGCTAAATTGTATAAATGTCACCTTCCAGAGATGCTATGCTGTTAAGCTGAAGATATTTCCCTACTTTACATTAACAATCCAAACCCAAAGATATTCTATGACAAAGAAAAGCATCAAATCCTGACTAAGGAAGCTCGAAACAGTAAATATTTGTGCATGTTTGCTAAAACAATTAATTGATTGTCCATAGATGATGAAATATATGATAAATATTATAGTGTTAGATTTCTCTTATTTAAACAACAGCGCCGTCAATGTATCTAATGTTCCTGCAGTTGGTAGAGCTAAAGCTGAACAGTTGTAAAGGCTCTTGTTTGTATTTGCATTTCACTGGGCTTTGTTTAAAGAGAGGAATAGCAGTTTGGTCTTCAGTCTCACATCAGACCTCCTCAGAAGAGTCCTTGTTTAACAAATGAAGAGCCGCGGGGCCGGCCCACAGATCAATAGGTTACCGAGGGAACTGCAGAGTAACAGGGAGGAGGAAAGGGGGAAGAGGACTTCCTATCTGTCCCTTAACAAAATTCCTACACATATTGGTAAACTCAAACATGGGAGTGCAGCTTATCAGTGTGACATGTGCCATATTTAGTATGTGTTCCCCAGCCAGTTCACATTAAAAGGACATTTCATACAGTGATAACAACTCTTATTTGTCCAGTTTTGACAATTGTACAAAAAATACTAGTGTTAAAATCTTACGTATCTTGTCAGGCCTTTTGTTTTTCAGGTAATAATCAACACTGTCCTTGGTGACTGACGGATCCACTATTTTTCATTTTCAGGGTTCCTGGCGCAGTTTAGCACAAAAAGTAGCACAAAATGTTTTAGAGGTTCACTCAAAACTATTAGTGACGTAATGAAAAACAGAAATACATTGCTTGATAAGATGAATTTTAATTTAATCACACAAAGTAGTGGCCTTCAATTGTCAGAGGGAAATTAGCTTGTTTCTCAGTATGACTTTTCTGTGAAACCGATTACCTCGTTTTTGTTTTTACCTCTTCACCTTGCAACATACTAAGGAGCTTGCAAGAGACACCTGAGGGAGTGTTACAGTTTACAATTACTGTCAGCAAGTTGTCACCCCATTTTAGGATTTTCTCATGAAAGGCATAATTTTGAAATTACAAATATGTCTAGACAGGAATGTCCCGGTTGTCCCTAAGTATGTATTTGTGAGGATGACATTCACCTGAACGTTCTCCTAAATTGAGATCCAAATTACGTAAAGATGCACATTTGATTTGCCACCAGATGACATTTTGACATTGAGTTACTTACCCTCTTTCTTTTTTTAAACTACAGATTACCTTGAGCCCTTTTTTTTGTCAACGCTAAGATATTACAATCCCTGGTTTAAATTCACAATAATGGGCCTTGAGTTTTTTCACATAGCGTGACAGACTTCTTTGATCATTATCTGTGTCTATAACAAGTTGTAGGTTGAGGAACCCCTTTCATCAGATAAGCGTTGCGTCACCCGGTGATGGCTGTCACCCTCGCTTGTCTCTTCATGCCTGTTGAGGCTGTTTGAGGATGTGGGTTTAGAGTTGAACTGACTGAAAAAGCTCAAAATGGTCTGCCTCACTGCTCCTTTGCCCTCTGCTGAAGAGAAAGGACAATAGTCCACTGTGCCGTACTGACATTTTGTTCCTTATCCCAAAATACAACAGCTCTTTGTACACTATCAGCTTTTCACAGGCTGATCATGCTGACTCATAGCTCCTGGGAAATATACAATCTATGCATTAACCAGAGGCCGTTGTGTTCTTTATGTTAATATCACCTTCTGAATCTCTTCTTCTTCTGAAGTAAATGTTCCTGGATAGAATGTAAAAAAAGAAAAAGATGAAACGGTAAATATACCTGGAAAACATGACGATGTAGGAATTGTCATTACGGGCTAACACAGAGCTGAAGGTAAATGAGGTTAACCACACACACATATTCATATACTTATAGAAAATGCAAGAAGCCAACCAATTGTTAGTTCAGTGTCTTGCTCAAGGGCACTCTGACACTCTCTGCTGGAGCCAGGGATCGAACCAGCAACCCTCTGATTGATAAACAACAGCTCTGCATCCACTGTGTCCAAAAGTCTCTCTACACATGACTAACTGTGTCCTCGAATACTGTTTAGGCAATTAGTATTCAAAAAGAAAATCAACATACCATATACGCACTGGAAATGTGTGCAACATGCAGCGTCTTTAAACATTAGTCATGGTTACGAGGTAAACACTGCTACAACAAAAATAATTGCTTAGAATTAGTGTGTAGTGTTCATTTGGACATTTCAAAAATATGGATTCAGAGCATTTTATTATTTATGTTACGATCTCCTGGTTTTGGACCCGGTTTGATCCGACAATGCCTTTCACTGGAAGCGCTGGTATGGGGTCTCCTGTTTTCCTTCATATGTATTCAACAGATCCCTCATTGTCTCACATAGAAACTATTGGAAAAAATGCAACTCCTTTACATCTTCTTTTAAGTTACCAAGTTTTTCCATTAATTTGTCACTAATTTATATTGTTTTCAAATAATATTTTGCCCATAATTTTGCCTTTTTAGTAGACACAGAGTAGTCGGAGTAGACACAGACAGGAAACAGAGAGAGGGTAGGGGGCCAAGAAAAAACTGTATCTACCCTATTGTTCTTAGATCCTGTTGTTACTGGCGGTTATAGTTATAGAAATACGTGCAGCACAGCAAGCTGCATGAAATACAATAGGAGAAAAATGTAAATCTAACACAAATGTCAAATTTACTGTCAATGGCTTTTTTCTACAGTTTGTCTGACAGACAGGCACGGCAATGAGGAAGTAAAAACAAATCCGCAACCAACAGTAGCCACAAAGTTGACCAAACATACCATAACAGACTGCAAACTTTTTTCTAGAAAGGAAATGCCATTTCTGTCACAGTTGCTGTTTATCTTCTCACATACATGTACTAAATTCAACAAGCTGCTGCTCGGCATCTCAGAAATGTAGAAAGAAAATGTACTGAAGGTGTAGCCGGTGAAGGTGATGACATGTTCCTATCAAGAAGTAAACCTCAGTACTATCAATAATCTTAAAATGCTTCAGAAAATAAAAGTTGGAATGTATTTTCTTTCCTTCAGGCTGCTGATAGGAGCACCCAGAGCCCGAGCTTTGGGACAACAGACAGCCAACATCACAGGAGGCCTTTATAAATGCGAAATCACTCAGTCCAATAATTGTGAGCGCATCCAATTTGATAGTGAAGGTGAGTTAATCTGCATGTCTGGATACACAGTACTGTTTCCAAAAGTCAAGTATTAATATACAGTGCTGACATGTTTGTTTTGTTTTGCTACATTTTTAAAGAGGATGTGCGTCTTGAGAACAAAGAGAATCAGTGGATGGGGGTGACGGTGCAGAGCCAGGGGCCGGGGGGGAAGATTGTGGTGAGTCAAACTGAGAGTCTGAACTAAAAAACGAATGCAAACACATCAGAAAACGCTGTTTGTGGCCTGGTCAATACCCAGTTGTACTGTTTTTCTCTGCTTTATACATTAACCATCTTTGGGTTTTGCATTGAAATAAAAAGCCGTTTTTAAAAAGCTATCACCTTGGACTTTGAGGAACTAAGATGGAAATGTTTTACTATGTTCTGACATTTTATTTACAGAACAACCACGAGTCTGAATTAGTGTTCCAAGTAACCTTCGGTCCTGGTTTGGTGTTATCTCTTATTAATGAATGAACTTGACCTCAACGTTTTTTCTGTCATTTCAGACTTGTGCTCATCGCTATCAGAGGCGCTTGTATGGGAACACCCCTCAGGAGTCGCGGGCCATCACCGGGCGCTGTTTTGTCCTGAGCCAGGACCTGACCATCGACTCCAACTCTGATGAGGACGGAGGAAACTGGAACTTCTGTGAGGGCAGAGCCAGGGGACACGAAATGTTCGGATCCTGCCAGCAGGGTTTAGCTGCCACCTTCACCAAGGATTACCACTACATTGTGTTTGGAGCACCGGGGGCTTACAACTGGAAAGGTCACTAACTACACTCTTTCTAATTCTGCTGAAAATGTCAGATGTTGTTACCTCTCAGTTTTTTTTCATTCTGAACTAAATATTTCTGCAGGTATTGTTCGAGTGGAGCAAAAGAACAACACTTTGCTGGAGATGGGAGTGTATGATGACGGCCCGTATGAAGTTGGAGATGAAAATCTATTGAGATCCGAATTCGTGCCGGTACCTGCCAACAGCTACCTTGGTGAGCGTCTAAAAAAACAGATGTGGCTGTATGGGGGTCACTAGCATCCTGTTGGTCCAGCGATGCACTGTGGTAACTTCCTCTGTAGGTCACAGTTCTCACACATTTGGCTTGAGCAGTATGAGATCAGTGTTCACAAGTGTGTGCAAATCTGTGAAGTTTCACTGAAGAAGACAAATGAACAGATGGGTCGTGGGACTAAAGTTTAGTCAACTGTTCTCACAGCAGACCTTTTGTCAAACACAGGAATAACATTGAGTAGCATCGAAGTAACTGCCCGAGCCAAGCCTTCCTTAACGTTTTCAGTTCTACATGTGTTGTTACCGCTATAACAAGTCAATCTTTTGTTGCAAAACAGCTCTTTGAATCAGCTTTGTTTGGAATAGTAAAAGATAGAAGAATGAGGAAAGGTTCTCAGTTCGATTCCACAAAAAAGGGTATTTTTGTTGCATCACTCTCTTTTTCCCCTTGCTAGCTATCCTCTCTCTGCTGCCTATCTGAAAAAATCATACAATACAGAGGAACTCTCAGTTTGATTTGCACATCTAAACTAATGAGTTGAAAGGAAACCTGTAGGTCAAGCTTTAGATTTTCTTAGAAATGTAAAAACTGACTGATAGTATTGTTACCAGTCGATTAAATGTGTAGCTGCTAAAGTTGGGCACAACAGAAACGGTAAACATTAAATGCAGGACGTGTTCGGTTAAGAGATATGTCCTTGTTGCTGAGAAAGCAAGTCCTACTAGTCAACGGGAGGAAACTGCGTGGAGACGGGAGGACGTTGTGAATCTGTGCAGGTGTTCACCCTCACCCTCACAGTGGGAGACAGCAGTAGGAACGGCAAAAGTGGGAAACTCATTATCCCAAATAAGGGAGAAAAAGGGGGGAAAAGAACAATGCTCTATAGTATAAAATAATTGTTTCTTATAACATCTCTGTTACTTTAGGATTCTCCCTCGATTCGGGATACAGCATCACCAAGGGGCCTGGCCTGACGGTGGTGGCTGGAGCACCCCGAGCCAATCACAATGGAGCTGTGGTCCTGCTGAAGAAAGAGAGCGAAGCCTCCTCCAGACTTCTGGAGGAGCACATTCTGCACGGGCCAGGACTCGCATCCTCCTTCGGATACGACCTGACCGTGGTGGACCTGAACGGTGATGGGTAGGAAAAGTTTTCAACACCTTCTCTCTTTTTCAGTATAAAATATTTAATCAGAGAAACATGTTTGAAGCTTTGAGATTTTAGAAAAGGACCTGATTTCCTTAAAAGATCGATTTATTATAATGATATCTTATTTGTTTAATGTATAATGTCCATGTTTGGCTATCAGTGGACTTTCTTTTAGGATTTAGATTTAGGAGGTTATACTCTGTAGCACACAGTTTACTTAGGAAGTCATATTCTAAATGACATTTCCAAATATGTGCCTCACTTCTTTGATCTAGATGGGAGGACATCGTTGTCGGAGCCCCTCAGTTCTACATGAAGGACAGAGACATTGGAGGAGCTGCTTACGTCTACATCAACAAGGCGGGACGGTGGGACAAAATCACTCCTGTCCGCCTGAACGGGACCAAAGACTCAATGTTTGGATTGGCGGTGGAGAACATCGGAGACATCAATCAAGATTCATATGAAGGTAATGTCCCTGGCATTTTTTAGCTTAATTTACATTTTCTTAAATTGTCAAGTAAACAGTTTTTTTCCCCTCGTACAGACATTGCCATCGGAGCTCCGTATGATGACGGCGGTGCAGGAAAGGTCTATATTTATCATGGCTCTGCAGAAGGAGTCAAAACCAGCCCAGCACAGGTCGGTTTGTAGAGCTTTGTTTAAAGTGCCTTTAATTGACGCGCCTTTTGAGCCCACTGGTTACAGCACCATGCCATATAACTGGGTTTGAATCCAGGATCATGTAATCACCCCCTCTTTCTAATTTCTACATCGTCATCTGGCAATTAAAGCGTAAAATACAAAAAATAAATATATCTATGGTGCTTTTACTAAATCATTTGCTTACCCTTTGAAAACTGACACATTTCTAATGCAATGTTCAAAAAGTGAGTTATTGCAGGTTTGAGCTCTATAAGAAACTTTTCATATGTTAGAGACATTAACTAGTCTCAATCCAATTCTGTGGAAAGGGGCTTGCAAAAAAGTTATTTCTTATGATGTTCAATAAAGTATTTTTGCTCTAAAACTTAGACTTATTGAGGAACTCAAACTGAAACTCAGTTTTGTTCCCAATACTAGAGTAGTAGAATTTTACTCCTGTGTTCTTCTTTTCATTACGGAACAGTTCTAATTATTTTTAAAACTGTTCCTCCTCCATTACAGATCCTCTCAGGGAAAGAGCACAGCATGCGACTCTTTGGATATTCTCTGGCTGGGAATATGGACTTGGACAGTAACTTGTATCCAGACGTGGCGGTTGGCTCTCTGTCGGACACAGCTCTGATCTACAGGTACTGTCATTATTACACATTATTAGTCAATTTGAACCCAAATCATTTGTACTATAACTTCATTTAACTTCTTTTCTTTCAGGGCACGTCCAGTCATTAGCATCAGGAGAGATGTCAAAATATCTCCACAGGAAATTGACCTTACAATCAAAACCTGTGGAAACAGCAATTGGTAGGTTTGGTTTTTCTAATATTCTTCTTACATTTCAACAGAGCTCAGAATCCAAACTTCCCCTGTTCAAATGATTTTTTAAATGTTCTATCCTCAGCTTTGATTTGGACATGTGCTTTTCCTACAAAGGAAACCCTTCATCGTACAACCCCAAACTAAGTAAGTGAAGTGGTTAGAAAATATATGTACATTTTACAAATCCGAGATTTGTTCAGTTGTTCTTACACGCATGCTCTCCTCACTCCTGCAGCTATCAGCTATTCTGTGGAGGCGGACGGAGAACGCAGGAAACACGGGCTAACCTCCAGAGTGATGTTCCTCAACAATCCCAGCACTGAGACAGACTACTGGTTTAACGCCACCTTGGACCTCCGCGGCCAAAAACAGAAATCATGTATCAAGATAACAGCCAAACTAAAGGTGAAAACATGTGTAGCACTTTTAACTTCTTAAATCATATACTACATGCATTTTAAAGCATAAAGATGTATTTGATCAATTATGGAGGATGTCTTTCTCTTATGTGATGGTAAACTAAATATCATTGGGTTTTCACATTTCAAATGAATGCTTAAGAAAATCTAAAAACGTTCACTTCTTTTTGACACCATGACAAAATGATTAATCGATGCATTAGTTAATCAAGCCTTTATGTATGAGTTCACAAATTGTGACATGGATTCACATACATGTTTTGTTAAAATTGCTGCAGTGTTTTTGGGGGTAAGCAATTCAGTTTCTGCATGGTTCTGCATGGTTCTGGATGGTTATACATGGTTTGCAATGACAGTAAAAGCCACAGAATATTTTGTCACATTTTTCCAACCTTAAAATTGCTGAACTTCTCAGGCAGCACTGAGGTGTCGAGACAAGATTTTAAATGTCAAAACATGCCTATAGCAAAGCATAAAGTGAAGTACTGCTTATTGTAAAGTATACTTAAATAACAAAACAAAGAAAGATGCTACAATGCCCCATACTAAGTGTCTGTTTGTGATGTGCACAGGACAACATTAAGGACAAGCTGCGGAGCATTCCCATTGAGGTGTCTGCAGAGATTGTGGGTACCAAACGACAGAAGTCAAGAAACGGCCTACCCCAACTCCTGCCAATATTAGACTCCTCTCAACCGAGCAAAGAAATCCTTGAGGTAAATATTCACACTACAACAGTTTTTAGTGAGATAATCAGAATCAGAATCAGAATACCTTTATTACTCCCACAGAGGGGAAATTTGCATCGTTACAGCAGGAAAGAGCCACAGACAGCTTAATGTTACATATGTTAAAAAAAGTACTAAGTTATCATATAATAAAAATAAAAAAACTTTTCAAAATACAAATCCTGTAACAGTTCTTAGGATTTAGCAGCCAGATATATATTTCACAGTTATTAATGGCATATGTATATAATGTCTATATTGCACATATAGCACATATTGCACATAGTTTGATGGTATTTAACAGCAAATGGCAAGATGTTCACAGTGGAGCACAGTCTGTTTATGCTTTTGTTATTTCAGGTCAACTTTGTAAAAGAGGGATGTGGAGGTGATAATATTTGCCGGAGTAATCTGAAGATGGACTACCAATTATTCTACAAACAAGGCAACCTAGAAGTGTACCCTCCATTACCCATGTGAGTAAAATATGATCCTATAACTGTCTTAATACGAGGTGAAAATGCATCCCTTAAATATGCTTGAAACAACCATAGTAAAAATGCTTTCAATCAAAGTGTAAAGTTAAAGCAATGCCTCAACAGACAATTACAATGAGAGTTAACACCAAGCTTTGCCACAAAAAGCTCTTTTGTTTTTTGGGCTACATATACTGTACGCTGTATGGTGGAGACTAAGTGCTCCAGCAACACTGATATGAAAGCAGAACCAAATCACAAGCAGACAGAGAAACAGTACAACACTTGTCAGCACATAGAATAAGAGATGTGAAGTACAGAGCTAAAATAGACTTTTTAAGTTCACAAGAAGCATGATTTTAATATTCCTCTACCTACATGTATGTTGTTCTGTGTCTGCTGGTGTAAACAGCTTTCACATGCAGTATATATTTATGTGCTTTTTATTTAAAAAAAACTCAACTCTGAAGTGAGTTGAAATGTTTGTGTTGTTTACAGCAAGAACAAAGTCCCTGTGTTTCATCTGAATTACGAGAAGAAGGACTTGGCTCTGCGTGTGACAGTCAGCAACATGAATGAAGATGATGCATATGAGGCAAAGCTGGTGGGGACTTTCCCCAATACGCTGTCATATTCTGGGGTCCGGACAGAGCCTACTACGGTAAACATGACCAGGGATGGAGGGAAGAACTACTTAACTACAAATATTGTCAATGACAGGACATTTTTACTCGGAGCAAGTATAATTACTTTGATAAAAGTAAAAAGTAGGTCAGTTAAAATGTCCTCTCTAAGTAAATGTTACTGTGTACCATTTATGAAAGCCAAAGGGAGCTGGGGGATAAATACAAAAAGTATTCAAGGATGATAATAATGGTCGGAAGGAAGACCCAAATAAATGTTAGAACATATTAGGACCACAAAGGTTGCATTGACAGGTCACCATCCCACAACCACAAAATCCTCCTTTAATATAGGCCTATGGCATTTTGCAACCTGTGCATACACCTGATTATCAATTATACAACCGACTTCTTCTGGCTAACTTAACACGAATAAACCAGAAAAGAGAACAAAACTGACCGACAAAGACATTGACAAGCTACGAACACCTTGATGGATGCAACAAGCCTCGTATAACCTGAAATTTCAACAGCACAAAAAAACATTATACCGACATGTATAAAGAATAAAAACAGTAACAGCCACTAACACACATTAAAGCAAACTGAGAGCAGCACAGTTTTGGCACCACATGTATTCGTAGTGCACACCACTCTGCCTTGTCTAGAAAGGAAGTGTGTTGTTGTACTCACTGGTTAAAATCTCCCTCCTTTAGTCTTGTACACAGCACAATCCTCCTCATCTGCTCCAGTTTGAATGTGTCTGCTCGTCCATCTCAGTGCATATAGTCAGTCCACTCGGCCTAAAAGTATTCAAACATTTAAGAGTTAATTTAGCCTCTGCAGTCAAAGACAACAGTTCACAGAACATAATAGTTTCTCAGTAGAAGCAGAATACACATGTAGGTTCAGGATCCACAACACAAGCATGTTAGCATTCATCATATTAGCATATTTACCGGTGTTAGCCACACCCACAATGCACCTGTTGTTACCATAACAACATTGGTGTGTTTGATTTGGATCACCTTGCGTGCCGGCCAGGTGGGACATTAAATCCGTTTTTACCAATGTCTGTATGAAATAGATGTATTACTCTGTAACAACCCTATTCGACTAGAAATATAGCACAGTACAATACTTCAGATAAAGAAATACGTAATAATAAGAAGGGTAATGTTATATTCACTAATATTTAACAGAAAACGATTTTGTTAAAGTAATGAGAGATTGTTTTGGGTTACTTCCACCCCTACAGTGCAGAGGAGCACTAGCGACCCCATGTGGCGGCTATGCTAATTTCACATGAGATCAAATGTTGTATCTGTCAATGGCAACATTCAACTAATTGTTTGAATACTTGCTGCTACAGACAATATTTAAATTGGTGCCAGAAGGAATGGATAACCTGGATGAATACAACATGTTTGTATGTTAACAAATTTTTGTTAAACTAGTAACATGTAGACTGGTTGCATGTTAAAATGCTACAGATAACTACTGAATTCAATAGTTTAGGACATAAATCAGCCAATTGACAGCCATTGGCATGAAATACTATTAATGTAACAACCCAGTGTAGTCTAATTAATGTATGACTACTAATTGCTTTTTGATTTCTAAGTAATACCTTCCTGATGTAACTGTAAATTCAATGTTTAAATAATTTGTTTTGATATTTTGCAGACGAAGAAGCCGATCATCTGTGCAGCCAATCTGAATGGCTCTCAGGCAGACTGTGAGCTGGGGAATCCTTTTAAGAGAGGCTCAAAGGTACGACCATGTCTCACATCTTCATCCTGCCACCTAGTTGTTCTACTTCAAATGTGAGAAACACTTTTTTTTCTTATTTTGTCACCAGGCTACATTTTACATAATCCTGAACACTGCGGCGATGACTCTTGACACAACAGAGATTGACATCGACCTGCAGCTCCAAACGTAAAGACTGCTGCTATATTTTTTTCCTGTATTTTCATATAAGGTGCCATAAACCTAAATAAAACTAATTGTGTTGTCTGTTTCTTTTTTCCTCCAGGACTAGTGTGCAAGAAAATATTGTCCCTGTTAAAGTGAAGGCTAGAGTAATCATTGAATTTCCACTGTCGGTCACTGGGTAAGTGTGTTAAACCATTTTTTTTAACTACAAGTAACTCTCCAGTGACTCCAACAGTATGTGAAACAAAGACTTTGCTTGTTTTCATCAGGGAAGCCAGCCCTAATCAGGTTTCCTTCGGAGGTGTTGTGAAAGGGGAAAGTGCAATGAAGAAGGAGGAAGAGATTGGAAGTTTGATTACTTATAAATTCAGGGTACGTTTTTTTTTAACTGACTTGCCATTATATATCTTCTATTTTAATCACTGCTATCAAATTTTTCTTAAATGGAATTGTAACATATTGATTCTCCTTCAGATAAACAACTTGTGGAAGTCTTCTGTCAAAGCCTCACTTAACATTCAATGGCCCAAACTGAACAAAGACGGTAAATGGCTTCTGTACCTGGTGAAGGTCACGGCCTCAGGGCAGGGGGACGTCGTGTGCGCCCCAGAGACTGAAATCAACTCCCTCAAACAAATCCAGGTAGTTTTAAAAAAAAACTTTTATAATGAAACCAACCGTTGCCAGAATTCAGCCATTAAAGGAAACAGTATATTTAACTAGAAGAGATGTGTTTACAGGAGACCTTTTCTAGGACAAAACGTGAAATTGGAGAAAGGAAAAAAGTTGAGAAAATGTCTTCACTGTCAGACAAGACAAAGGTTTTGGTGAGTAAGAATTTATTTAAACAATTTAAACATTATTGATGCTTTAAAATGTTAATAGACATATATACATTTTTTCAGAATGTTGACAAATTGAGTATGTTTACAGTGTGGGGTTAGCACTAACTTAAGTAAAGGGTTTGTTATAAGGGTTATGATTGATGTAATCCCCCTTCCCCACAGACCTGTGGCAGTGGGGTCAGGTGTGTGGTGCTGCGCTGCCCCCTGCAGGGCCTGGACGGGACCACAGTGGAGCTGAGGTCTCGTCTCTGGAACTCAACCTTTATCGAGGTAACAGGTTTGATCAGTTTTTAATAATTCTCCTCTGTGATTTGGTATGACTATTTTACCTGAGAATGCATGAATTTTTTCACTCAGGATTACGCCTCTATACCAAACATGCACATCGTTGTGAGGGCCTCGCTCGTCCTTCAGACTCAGGCTAAGAACATGATCCTGAAAACTCCTCACATTGATGTAAGCAGCTCAACAGATAACAACAAACTGTTTATCTTGGTCCTAGCTCACCTGAACTTTTTCTCTTTTCCTATGTTGGTGTTTTATTGCAGGTTACACTGGCAGTGTCCCCTGAAGTTGCAGTAGCGCAGTTTACTGGAGTTCCCTGGTGGATCATACTGGTGGCTGTGCTGGCAGGCATCTTGATTTTAGCTCTGTTGGTGTTCCTGCTCTGGAAGGTGAGAAACATAGAAGTGACATCCACATTTTGGCTTTGTTGTGTTAATATTATTATGAATACAATTACATATTTATATTCAGTCAAAATAAGTATTCATTCAACCATTATTTTTGGACATTTCAAGACTAAACCCTAATGTGACTTTCAGTACTTGACTGAATGCTTTGTTTGTGTTTATAATAATAGCAAAAACATGTGTATCCTATAGGTTACACTATTCTGTAGATGTTCTGCAAATTGGGATGAAATATTTAGTTGTTTTTCAGGGGCCATTTGGGCATCCACACTGGACTCTCCAGATATTATATTAGATAGATAGGTACAGTAGTACTACTACTTAAGTCAATTAGACAAGTGTGATGTTAAGAAATGTTATTATTGATTCAGTTTGTGTTAACACATCCTCACCCTTGCCCCCCCTCAGTGTGGTTTCTTCAAGAGAGCAACTAAAGACGAATACGATGCCGCATATCAAAAGGCAGAGATCCTTGTTCAGCCCTCTGACAAAGACAAACTCTCTGCTGAGGCCTGATTTAAACTCTGGACAGGGGTAAACACTAGCTGTCAGCATGGAGTGTGATCAGAGCAACATCTAATGTACTCACTTTACAGTCAATCAGCTGACTTCATGCAGACAAATTCAATCAGACGCATATTGTACTGAGAGATTTACATTACAAAAAAACTTTTACCCAAAATACGAGAAATATGTCATAGAGATGGGATTAAGGAGTCTGATGTACAATATGTGTCTCTGAATTTTGCCAAAGCTCTATGCATATTCCTACCAACAGGCTTAATCTTTTTTAACAGATGTTCTGCTCTGCAGGTGCTTTTGCTGACATCGCTATTACTGCTTGGCTGTTGAATGCACCGTTCAAAACCTGCAAAGCATGCTTAACATCCTGCACATCTCTCCTCTTGTTGTTCAGTGTGCATCAATATTTCTGACATTTCTTTCCGTTTGAATGATGCATTGTGTTTTTAATCTACCTTTCCAGTGTGGATTCTTCAAACGCTCCAAGCAAGAGGACAGCGTCCCTCGTTACCACGCAGTGCGGATCAGAAAGGAAACTCCTCCTGAGTATAAAGATGAAGAAGCCAAGCTTGATCCTTTTGATAAAAAGCAGTGGCTGACGACTTGGGTCGATGATGAAAGTTACTCGTGACTCATTTTCAAGTTTGTATGATTTTTTCAGACAGGTATAACCTGAACTTTGTTGGTTTTTTTGTTCATTTTGTGATCAGGGATTTTTTTCTGAAGCGTTCATGTCTTTGATTTGTTTTACACTGTAAAGATGAAAAATGTTTTGTAAGTTCTGTATATATTTAAATACTTCTGCACACTGTATATTTATTTTTTGATAAAAAAATAATCATATGCAGCCATTTTACTCAGTCTACACATGTCCTCCGGTAAAGGGCAAAGTTTACTACTGTTATGTGCAGATGTGCTGTCTTACTGAAAGCCGAAAGTCTATGCAATGAAGGAACCGCTAGCTCGGTGCCAAGTGAATGTAATTGTTTCATGTCTCAGTACCTTCTGCCTTTTCTTGAATGACATTCAGGTACATTACCATTTCACAATAATGAACAGTGCACATGTGACCACGACCCTTAAACTCCAAGCCGGTGTTCTTTAAACTTCTGTTCTTCACTGTAGTGGCATCCACTGTGCTGTAGGTCATCACTGAAGTAACACTTCTTGTTCCATGGGAGGAATCCAAAGGAAAGATGGGGAAAATCAACTGAAATGTTTGATAGATTAAATGTTTTTTGTTGAAGTATAATAAAATGCTTAAAAACTGATTGCAGCTGTTCTTTTTCATTGCCATATAAGTATTATACTTTATACCAGGGCTTTGACTAAGGATCTTTGTATTCTCCATTAATCTGTATTTAGTTTTCAGATTGATCAGTTAGGTCTACAAGCTTTAGGAAAATAGTAAACATCACAATGTGAGTCTGCATGCTTGTATTCAAACCCAAGGATATTCAGTGTGATTTCATATAAGAAAACAAATCCTCAAATCCATACGCCCAAGAAGGTGGAACTGTGTTAACGATAAGTTGATTTCCAAAGCAATTTGGATTTGTCAATCTAAAGCCAATCAATTGTTTCAGATCCATAAAAGCAAGAAACTAACACAATCTGAACATCTCGAAAATATGATATCAAATAATTTGATCAAATCCAAATATTACAAGGACAGAAATGTCACTTATGTTTATTTTCCAACCAAGAAAACACCACCTTAATCCAAAGATTTATTTAATCTTACTTTTTATAACAACCATTGCATTTACATTGAAACAAATCGTTATTCTTTCCACCCTATACAAAAACTATTGCATTGAAAATAATTATATTTATGCAACCAAATGACTCAAAAGAGCTGAGGAATAAAGGAAACAGGAATTGTGATGAATGTTTTGCATCAAAAAGATCTTAACCCCTAAGGAGAGTTCCCTCTTTGGACAACTGTAGGAAAACTATGATTATACCAATATACATGTTGATTCCAGTTCAGTCAAATGTTAAACGAAAGCTTTTCTCCTGCTCTTTGCGCTGGTTGTCACACGATTTGGACACTTCCTCCACTCTTCTCTGCAGAAGAACCGAGTTCTGATCGATCCACTGCAGTGAATCCATGTGGGTGTTGAGAATCTTACAGATCTGCTGAAGCTGAGGAGGAGAAAACCGAGAGAAAAATAAGTTAGTTTAATTTGCAACAACAAATGTGTCAGAGAGTACACTTGAATGAGTCCTCCTCTTACCGGGTCACTGGTGTCTGCCGGGCCACTGGATGTGTTCAGGTGCTCGATGATCTCCTTCAGGTCCTGAGACATCCTCTTCAGCTGAGCGTCCACGTTCTCGGCCAGCTTGTACGTTCTTTCACGTTCCTCGTCGGCGTTCTGCATGTAGATGGTTCCGCTCTGCTCCTTCACAGACTCCTCCAGCGGGCAGAGTAAGTCCTCCAGCTCCTTCTGTTGGGACAGGATGAAATCCAGCTCCTGGTTTAGCCTGCGCTGGTCCAGCTTCACCTTCTCCATCTCCTTGTGCAGGGATGTGATCTTCTCCCCGTTTTCCACTAGCATGCGGTCCCAGGCGTTCACCTGAGTAGCCTGCTGTAAGAAATGTCTCTCTTGGTCCTCCAGCTCAAGACTCCATTTGTTAATGAGACCCTCCAGCTGGGCATAGGTCATCACTGGAGGAGCTGTGATTGTAGGGATTGCAGTTGCTGTAGTTGTTGTGGCGAGGCTCATGCCGGTTGAAGGTTTGAGTCCCAGTGAAAAGCCTGTCACAGCACCTGTTGTAGCGGCAGCAGTGGAGGCAGCGACAGAGGCAGAGGTGATGGTAGCTGCCCCAAGAGGTTTGAGCATGAAAGCCAGAGCTCCACCAGCTGCTGTGGTTGTTGCAGCCGCAGTGCTTGCTGCTAAAGTTGGAGCTACACCCATAGTGAAGCCTGTAAGGCTCGCTGTTGTAGCGGCGGCGGCAGAAGCAGCAGCAGCAGCTGCAGCCGCAGCAGCCGCAGGTGCTGCAGAGATGGGGGAAGCAAAGAGAGACGGGCCTGTAGCTAGGGTCGGCTGGATGGAGGCAGGAGGAGCCGGGGTGGTAGAGGGTTTAATCCCAAAGGCAAATCCTCCACCCTGGCCGGTTGTGGCTGCAGCAGTAGGGGCTGGCTGAGGCTGCATACCCAGAGTGAGGTTGGATGGAGCAGCTGCACCAAAGCTGAAGCCCCCTCCTGGGGCAGCGATAGGGGCAGCAGTGGTGGCTGCTGCGGTCGCCTGGACCTTGTTTGCTCCAAAGCTGAACCCTCCAAAAGAGAGACCCCCTGCTCCTGTAGTTGCTGTTACTGCAGCTGTTGGTGCTGCTGCAAGTTGGGGTTGAGCTGCAGGTTGAGTTTGAGCAGGAGTCCCAAAGGAGAAGCCCCCTGTTGCAGGGGCGGTGGTCTGTGCAGACATAGCTGTGCCCAGGGTGAACCCTGACCCGGCTGGAGGAGCTGCTGCGGAGCCCATACTCATCCCTTGTGCGGAGCCCATACTCATCCCTTGTGCAGAGCCAAAACTCATCCCTTGTGCGTTGCCCATACTCATCCCTTGTGCGGCACCCATACTCATCCCTTGTGGGGCGCCCATACTCATCCCTTGTGGGGCGCCCATACTCATCCCTTGTGCGGCACCCATACTCATCCCTTGTGCGGCGCCCATACTCATCCCTGGTGCGGCACCCATACTCATCCCTGGTGCTACTGCGGTTTGTTGAGGAGTAGCCATTCCAAATGAGGCGGCGGGGCTCCCGAAAGAAAAGCCTCCGCTGGCTGCTGTGGTCGCTGCTGGGGTGCCAAAGCTAAAGGAGCCGGCCGGGTTGGGGTTGGGGTTGGCGGCGGCCTGAGTCGGAGTGCCGAAGGAGAAGCCGCCTCCCGCAGCCGCGGGTGTGGAGCTGGCCATGCCGAAGCCCGGGGCTGGGGCTGCGGCTGCGGGCTTCTGGGTCCCGAAGGAAAAGCCAGTGGAGGCTTGCCCAAAGTTGAATCCACTCATTTTGGTTCGCAGAAGGACAACTTCAACACAACGTCACGTTATCGTAAACAGATAACTCACAAAATGGTCACTTCCTCGCTGAACTTCTGCGTGTTTTGGCGGGTCACAAATACGAGCTGAACTGACGTAACCCAGGAAACGTTTATTTCCAACGGTTCTTTCAGGCTTCGACGGTTGATAACGTCAATCACGGGTTGTAAACATTGTGTTGAACCAGAAGACGACCAAAAGCGAACACAATATCCTTCTCAAAAACGTGGCCAACTGCGTCGCACTTTTTTCAAGCAGGCATTTCATTCGATCACCAAAGGAAATGACGGCAGAAATTAGGACCAAACACTGTTCTTCTTCTTCTTCTTCTTTTCTTTAATGGCGAATCGCTTCCACTTGGAGCATATATCGCCACCTACTGTTGAGTTATTAAATGTTCATACTAAATCCTTGTCCTCAGACCAGTGCTTTTGAGGAATTTGAAGATCAGCTTGTTTGCTTCATTTCTTGATTTACTTTCAAATATTGCCTTGAAATCCATGTCCTTGATGTTGAGTTGTTCCAGTGACCAAACACTGTTGACTTAAGCCCTGAGTGTTGTCTGCCAGCAAATAAATCCCGCCTCCCTTTAGAAGACAGACAGGTGTAATGGCCAATCACAGCACCCATCAGACCACAGCTGAAATCTGATTGGTAACAGTTTATTGCCTGAAGAACAAGTTTCAGGGAAATAAATCTCAATATGTTACCCCCTATTTCCCAAAGAGTACTGATCTAAATCAAGAAATCAACTCTCCACGCAGAAACGATCTGTTGCCAAAAAGTAGGCTAATACAAAAATATTTAGCACAGGCGCCTGCAAAAATGATGGCGCTATTATCTGATAGAAATGGCTCGCTATCGTTGCCGAATAAAACAGTTAATAACCGTCGTAAGTAAAACAAAAAGCAGACTAACAAAAAACAACACTTAATATAAAAGACAAGATACTGCTTTACAAGGTGAAGAACACAAAGCACATGTTGTATTGTTAACGGCTGCAGTAGTTAACATTGGAATTCACACGTTTATTTTTCATGTTTACTTTTTTTTTTTAAGATTGTACCCAATACTTGTTGTGCATTCAAAAATAAAACATCCCAATCATTGTATATGAGTTTTTGCGTTTCGATAATATTGTCATTACAACATTAAACCTGAACATATTTAATCCATTACGTTTTTTTTAAGTGTGTCTAAACAAAGATACCCACGTCTACTATCTTGAAGTTGTCATGACTCTTTGGGTTAGCGGGCTGTATCCACACATACCATGTTTACATTTTTGCAAATATCTTTGCTATTCATATTTTAAGTAAAGGGTGATTTAGAAATATCGAACGGTTACTATGGATGCACAAATGTCACCACATCAATCCATAGGAGAACCTTCATTTCACCAGTGTGTTTGTGGGCAGCAGAGTTAGCGTGTAAGCTAACAAAGATTAGCTTTCTAACTGCGTGTCTGAGCTGGGCATGCCCTTGTAAGGATATTTAAACTAATTAAACAGGCTATTTCCTCTAACACCTACTCAACCACATAGTCCGCTGCCACAGGAGCTGTCACAATGAGGATTTTAAGGTTTCTGAGGAGCAGTGTTAAGGACATTGACTATTACTCCAAATTCTCTCCCTCTCCTCTGTCAATGAAGCAGTTTCTGGATTTTGGTAAGAGTAAACACACTACACACCATATGTATCTGTGCCTATATTTAAAGCAAGGGTATAAACATTGTGTGATTATTTAATTTGATAACATTTTAGAGCCCTGAAAAGGCTTGAGAAACATCAGTTTTCACAAGAAAAATGTGTGTTTAAAAAAAGTATCTACCCTGGTTTTTATTTGGAAACCCTCATGCACACGTGTGACCCCTTGAATAGCCCACCAAACCAGTCAGCAGAAGCAGAGCACACACTTGCATCAATGATTACTCATTTAAAGGCTCTCATACAATTATTTTATTATAATATATCAAGATTTCTGATGTTCTTCTATTTGTTTTCAGGCTCAGAAAATGCATGTGAGAAAACCTCTTTCGCCTTCCTCAGACAGGAGTTACCTGTGAGGTTGGCAAACATCATGAAGGAGATCAACCTGTTGCCTGACAACTTACTGCGGACTCCATCAGTGAAGCTGGTGCAGGGCTGGTACGCAGCTTCAGTTCTTTAAAAGTAACCTCTCAAATTAGTCTGCAAAAAGTGAATTATGATTTTTCTTTGTGTGCAGGTACATGCAGAGTTTTCAGGATATTCTTGAGTTCAAAGACAAAAATGCAGATGATGAAAAAGTCACATATGAGTAAGTACATTAAAACAGTTATATTTATGAGGATCCAATCCTGTGTGTTAATTTGTATCACCTTGGAGTTTTTGTTTTATTTAGTTTCACAGATGCGGTTATAAAGGTCAGAAATCGGCACAATGATGTAATTCCCACCATGGCTCAGGGAGTTGTGGAGTACAAGGAGGCGTACGGCACGGACCCCGTCGTCAGCCAAAATGTTCAGTATTTTTTTGATCGTTTCTACATGAGCAGGATATCCATCAGGATGTTGCTCAACCAGCACAGTGAGTAGATTCTCTTCATAACAAATGGTTATCTCATGAACGACGTGATGTCTTGATAATATGATAGATGCACTTGTTTGTAGATGTGTTCAAAAGAGGCTGTTGATCCATTAGCAGGAAACTTGAGGCTTTTTTTTCTAAAGTCAGTCCTGGCTGCCATCTTGCTTTTGTAGCAGATACCTTCTGCAACCTTTAATAATGTCACTGCCAGAGGAATCCACAGACCACACCTTAATGACGTATCTACAACAGTTGAATGAGCTGTTGATTCAAGTGAAATAAAACAAGGACTTGTCTCAAAGGACGATTAACCTGCCCAGACATTAAGATATCATCAAATGTATGTATCAGAAGTCAGAAACAAAATTTAGAGTTTTCTTTTTTCTTTGTTATCTGAAGATTAGGCAGTGAGGAGCGAGAATAATTTAGATTTTTGGTGTCACATCTATAGTGAGCCAAAAAGGTTTCACATTTTATGTTTGTTTTGTTTCATTAAAAGTCTATTGAAAAAAAGTAATCAATTTACAAAACCAAAAAAAACATTTGATAGATTTTGGATTAAAAGATGTTTGATGAATTAGTTTAGAGAGAAGTAAACGTCAAAACATTAATATTTTGGATGCACTGTGTATGGATTTAATTAACAATTTCTGTAGTGCATGGTCTGATTTATTGTGTCTTATTCCAGCTCTCCTCTTCGGGGGGAAGGTGAAGGTGAACCCAGCTCATCCCAAACACATCGGCAGTATTGATCCTAACTGTCGTGTCAGCGCGGTTATCAGAGGTGAAAACTCAAACCCTTTATGAGGAACATGCAGTGACAGGTGCTCAGATACATGTCACTGTCACTCAAAATATATTTGTTGTTCTTCCCTCAAACAAACCTCTTCCTTGTAGATGCGTATGAAAATGCACGAAACCTCTGTGACCGGTACTACATGAACTCTCCTGAGCTGGTGCTGGAGGAATTCAAAGGTAATTCATGTTGGTCACACATGTTCAGTTACACAGACACTTTTAATTATGTACATTAAAGGCAAATACATTTCTTTGTATATCAAATGATTATCTTAAAGTTCAGATGCTTTAAAGTGGGATTCTGTGAGATTCTTCGTAGGGATGTCCCGATCACCTTTTTTTGCTCCCGATCCGATTCCGATCATTTGATTTTGACAATTAGCCGATACCGATTTTTCCCGATCCGATCTTTATGCAATGCATTAAGAGGGAAAAAAAGCATTCAAGTTGTCCCTTAAGGTTATTTTTTTATTTAAATTGGATATTCTATCCAACATGGATATAGCTTCTTTTTTTCACAGCAGCATTGGATCAGTTCAGTTGTGCAGCATTGGATCAAAACAAAAATAAAGCTTATCAGTACTCGTTAGCTTACTGCTACAATTAGACACTGCGCCCTGCCCACTCTGTTGCCAGATTTGAGAGAAATAGAGACAGCCAGGTACACAGGGGATAGGTCCAATAGAACACACATACATGATGTTCTGTCATTTGAAACTAAAACTAAGGCCTCAGGATGACTTTAAGACTTGAACATGGGCATTTTTGTTTTGTAATAAAAAATAAAAAAGTATTTAAAAAAAAAATCCCGATCCCCGATTTTTTTCTCCCGATTCCGATCTTTTGAAAATCACGTGATCGGCTCCGATCCCCGATCACGTGATCGGATCGGGACATCTCTAATAGTCAGTATTGTAAAAAAACAACAACCAATACAGTAATATTAAACTACTACTGTAGGCAATGGACTGACTATGGAAAAGTACTAGACTATAGTCAGAAATATGAACTATCCCTTTTAGCAATTCAGGTTCCATTATGAATGAATACATAATTGCTTGATTCAGTATCTGATGAAATGTTGTCTTATCTTTGCTTATTTGAACAGCTTCCCCCATCACGGTGGTCTACGTCCCATCTCACTTGTATCATATGGTGTTTGAACTTTTTAAGGTAAGATTTGTTTTTATCAACCTCATAGTTGGACAGCCTGTTCAGCCTTTCTCTTCATGCTCAACTGTTGAGGGTGCTTTCATTGTTTGCAGAACGCCATGCGTGCCACCATGGAGTTGTACGGCGATGCCATGGAGTATCCTCCCATCCATGCACAGGTGGCTCTGGGGACTGAAGATCTGACAGTCAAGGTACATCTGTGCTGCATCCATTCATCTTTACTAACCAGTATAAACTCCTGGAGAAACTGAAAATGGAGTTATTCTATGAGGATACTGTTCAATAATGATGTTTTTCTTCAGGTGAGCGATCGTGGAGGAGGCGTGCCGCTGCGCAAAATAGACCGGTTGTTCACCTACACGTACTCCACAGCTCCTCGACCCAGCATCGACGGGGCCCGCGCCGCTCCGCTGGTCAGTACGACGAGCATCGTTTTCTTATTGTGGCCATTTGAAAGTTTGTGAAAAGCACACTGAGATTGACTGAGATGTTTCAGTTACTTAAAATAGAGTGCAAATTGAAATAAAAAGGATTTGTGCTTTTGTTTTCAGCTTCACGTTTAATTTGTTTAATAATCTAAATATGATCCTTTTAATCTAGCAAGCCATATGTTGTATTTGAGCAGAATACTGAAAGCAGCAGATAGGGAGAACTGAGGACTCTTTGATATTTAACAAAAGCACATTCATCAAACATTGCTTATGTTGCCGCTTACACAGAAATCTGACTGTTCCAGTGCCAAAGAATCCCTCTGCTCTGATGTTTTAGATTGTTTGGCTTGAGTCTTGTTTTTTTCCCTCCAGGCTGGTTACGGGTACGGCCTGCCGATCTCTCGTCTGTACGCCCGGTACTTCCAGGGCGACCTGAAGCTGTACTCTCTGGAGGGGTATGGAACCGACGCTGTGATCTACATCCGGGTAACAGAGTTTAAAGTGTGTTTGTGTGTTTCTTCAGACAGTATTTACTTTGTATTTGAACTCTACTTTCTAAATTCCCTTGTTAGGCGCTCTCCACAGAGTCCATTGAGAGGCTCCCTGTGTACAACAAGTCGGCATGGAAACACTACAAGACGATCCAAGAGGCGGACGACTGGTGCGTCCCCAGCAAGGAGCCCAAGGACATGACCACGTTTCGCAGCTTCTAGATCCAAATGGCTGCCGGAGGTGCTTGGTAACGAATGGTTTGGTGTGTGAGATGGCAATACGTCACTCTAGATTTCAGAAAACAGGACGAAGATTTCGTGTCATATTCTTCGTAGTGGGCATTAGTTTTGTAATGATGAAGATTTGAGTCGAGAAGCCTCAATTAAATAAAACCGTTTCCTTTTTTATTCCTTATGGGACCTTTAATGGCAGGGACTGGGAGTCAACTGGACCAGGTTTCTGGAAAACCACATTGCTGTGAAAGTATGGTTTAAAAAAACGTCAACAACATATGGGCAATATAAAATATCATTCTCATTAAGTATGTTTTTAAACCAAGGACAGTATCACTGTTTCCGTCAAACGTATTTTGGCATTTCTGTCCTGCAGTTTGCCGTTTATTAACCAACCTATTAACAATATATCTGTGATTAACTTAAAACAAGCCGATGAAATCACTGAAACTCTCTGCATGGTGTGAGCTGTGTCTGTGTTGTTTTATTGGTTTAGGGCTTTTCCTTAAATGTAACTTTTGTTTTGCTGAAAGCTAAACTTGAACTGTTACGGTCCGTCTGTGTGCATGTCTTATGCTCTGCGTGAAGGTGAAAGCTTGTAAGGAAAGGAAAACTTGTTACACAATTTAAACGCTGTTTGTTTTGAAGTCTGTTGGAAGATGCTGCTGATAAGTCTTATTGGTTCAAATGGTTTTTATTTAGGGTATTTATTCTTTAGTCGAGGACGTCTTAAAACATGTTTGATTTGCCATCTGTGACAGGTTCTTAATGGAACTAAAGTCAACTGAATAATTGGAATTCAGAAAAGCTGTCAGGAAAGACAGTTGGCTGAGAGGTTTTATTGGATTAGGAACACTTTAATTTACTTTTCAAATTCTCAGTTTGCAAATGAGGTATTGCCACTTGGAAAGAGGCTGCTTGTTTTTTTTCACAAAATGTATCAATGCAGTATGAGAGCTAACTATTTGTGGGTTGCTCTGGTGTATTATAAGGACTCATCCTGTCATTTTCCTGTATGGGTCATGTTCAGTGAAAAATAAACATTTCAAACCAACAGATGGTTATTTGTGTCAAACATCTCCTGAGAGTGAATTATAGATGGATGGGAGTGATGATGGAAACTGATTTCTCTTTGAGTAACTATCCCTAGGACAGATTCCAAAAGTATTCGTGACATATTTTAGGAGTACATAAAACAAAACAAACTACAGCCTTAAGTAGGTATAAACGAATAACATCACGTTTTTAAAAGCGCCGTATAGGAATGAATTTCTCAGGTGTCTTTTTATCAATCAATATACAAGAAAGTACTCTCACACAGCCAAATTAAATAGAGCTATGAGACTCGTACAAAAACAAGGATACCACATAAAGTGAAAATTAGTTTATTGATGCTGTATGTACCAAGTATTTCTCTGATTTAGAAAAAGTTGGAAAACAGGATTTTCTTGTAGTCCAACATGTCGTATTGCATACAGAACATGGAGTCATGCGCGAGAAGAAGAAAGGAAGCAGTTCTGGACTCACAAAAGTCCTTGTCGTAGACACACCTGCCGCCTGATGGAGCGGCGCTCTGTGTGTGTGTGTGTGTGTAGCAGACCTGCATGCTGTGTGTGTTTACTCAGAGCGCCATGGTACCATCCTCCACACACAGGGGACAGAAGCAGAACTCCCCTCGGCCATATCTGATCTGTTTGCTGCTTTTCATTCAGCAAACACCACAGCTATTCTACTTAGTAGAAAAATGTAGATAGTAAAAATGTACAATGGGATGGTAAAGTAAAAAAATGATATGCAGTTAATAAGCACATGTATAAAACTTTTTTATACATTTAAAACCTCGTCGCTCATTGAAGATTAAAAAGACAAATATAGTGCTTTTATCTGTACTGTACAATATCCGGTCCTGCAGCAGAGTTCATGGAAACAGGTGAGTTATACTAGCAAAAATATAAAATGCTGAAAAAGCAGTATACATTTGACTTCCATTGGTAAATGTGTGCGTGATCTCAACAACTACATTAGATCTGACTTTATAATTAGAGCTTCTAGCTTTTTAGTGGTAACAAATGTTAGGATCTTTTTTTGGTCACATACCCAGGTTTTTTGACATTCCCCATCTTTCAGTCAGAATGGTTTGTGTGTGTTATGGGGAGGAACAGGAAGAGTGACGTGTCTCTCAGTGGGACAGGTTACACTCCTGCAGGTGTTCTGTTGAAGTGACACACTGTGATGGGAACATCACGGCACCAGGAGAATAAAGAGGGCTGCTCAGGGTAGAGAGGAACTTTATGAGCTGCATCATTCAGAGAACAGATCTGCTGGCTCAGCAGGAAGAGTCCGGACTGACTGGAAGTTTCCCGCTGCGCCGCACCTCCTTCTCTTTCTTCTCTTTCTGTTTCTCCATCTTCTCCTGGGCCTTGCGCATGTCCTTCAGCTTCTTCTTCATATTCGAACGGTCGCTCTGACTCGACACACCGAGTGCCTGTTGGACAAAGGGCGCAGATTTTAAAATAAAGCCACCATGTTCTGTCCACAGGGTGGCAGTCAAAGGCTGAAAAGGCTTTTGTAATCAAAGAGGCATTGTATAATAATGGAATATAATCAAAAACATGATTAAATACCATCATCTTTGAACTATTATGATACAGGTAGTTCAGAGGTGATTCATTTGATATTGCTGTGTCTTTACCTTCAACCTGTCACTGTCCAGGTTCAGGAGCTGCTGGCCGTCCACGCCCTTCGCTGTGAACTCAGGAGTGTATTGGTCCATATTCATGCCCATCAGCCAGTGACAGACCTGCTGATTGGTCCATTCAGAGACGGGCCGGTTCTGCCACTGATACTCTTTCCCTGTAGTTATTGGTTCATCATCCAGAGTCTACAGACACACAGACAATACCGGCATATATTAGAAACCTGAAAACACTCTCGCTTCACAGCGTCACCATTTTATTCTTTTTGTTCAAATACATAATTGTGGAAATGTCTGTGCAGGGTGCAGAAAGTCATATGTTGCTGTACTCTAAAGAAGAAAGTATTGTTCAGTGTTGAGTATTCACATCTAGTGCAGGGAACAAAAACATTATAAAGACAAACATATATAGTTGATGTCGTCTAACAATGCTGTTGGAAAAGATTTCATCCAATGTATTATTTTTATAGGTGGAAAAAATGTCAAGTTAATGGGGGTGCAGCTCGGTGCTGTGTTTCTGTTTAAAAAAAGAAAGAAGGTAAAGCCAACTTGAGCATTAGCATAACAACAAGAAGAACATGTAGCGCACGTTCTGTTGAACAAAGCTGTGTGCATTGTTCAAACTTCCAAAGCAGCACCCAGAAAACATGCGATGACAGTAAAATACCCAAAACATTCTCAGATGCAGGGCTACGTACGTGTGTGTGTGTGTGTGTGTGTGTGTGTGTGTGTGTGTGTGTGTGTGTGTGTGTGTGTGTGTGTGTGTGTGTGTGTGTGTGAGAGAGAGAGAGAGAGACACACTGGAACTTCTAATATGAGATCCCGCTGCTGCTGAAGCACCACAGAGCAGGCAGCAGAGCAGGCAGCACGGTTCTCTGGTGGGCTACAGCTTGTGAAGGACATGAAGCACTGGTTGACAGTTTAACAGAGGGAAAAAAAATAGTACAAAAACCAATAACATCACATCTGCCTTAATAAAAGCTGAGTCAGAGACTTGTTTAACACACACATGCAGCTCTCTTCTATCCCCTCTGCATTCACAAGTTCATCGCAGCTCTGAAAGGGGGGGAGGGGGGGGGGGCTCAAAGAGCATGCTTGAGAATGTCCCCTTTCAGCCGCATCAAGGCGTCCCACACGGCTTTTGTGACTGCGCAACAAGGAGAGCACTCACCTCGCTGGAAGAGAAGATTAAAGTGTGTGAGCGCCCAGACAGATTGGGTTCAGCGACTAACCCAGAGAGCTCTGTACTGGGACTGGCAGCGCTAGAATCATCTATGACTGAAAAACTCTGGAACAAGTGGAAACAAGGAACCGTTTACTAAAGCAACACATCAGCAAACAACAGTTCTTCTTCACTAGGAGAAGCACACATTTACAACACTACAGGTGTGAGGAGCGAGTGCAGTTTTCATAAGGACTACAATGATTACAATGAATGATTCAAAGTGGGATTAATGCAGGTGGTTAAGCAGAGAGTGACTGTGATCTCCAAGACACTATGTAGCACAACATTCAAGGTGATACAAAAAATAAATCCACCACCAAAACTACACAACCTCTAAGCTACAACTAATTATACAAAAAGTTAGGTATGGGGTTGTGTTTTTTCATTCACCTGAGCAGAGGCTAAGGGTTTAACTATGTGATCATGATTGGTATTATATTCTAACTGTGGCTTGTTTTTCAGACACAATGTGTGTTACATTTGGAAACACGGAGTATGATCTAGACCTGCAGGCTGTTGCAGCAGCTATCTGCAAGTTCATATGCAGTTTACTTTGAATGCAGCGTAATAATCAAACAGGTTATCAATCAGGTTGCGTAATGAAAGTTAGTGAGAACAGTTAGGTGTTGATGTTACAACAAACCTCGGATCAAACTTGCGATTAGCTGGAGCAACGAGCCCATAAAACTAGTTTTGGCTTCATTATTTCCTCTTATAGATTGTTATTATTATTCAAGCCACAATGCTTTTAAAAAGTAGATATATGAAACATGTTATCACTTTAGTTTTCTAATAACAAAACCACATACCCAGTTCCAAAGAAACAGTGAATGATTTAAAAGGTAGACCCTCCAGAAAAACGCGATTCTGCGATCGCATTATTTACCGCATAATCAGCTAAATGGCGCAGATTTTTAAAAGGGCGCATAATCCCCGCATTTTTCCACACAAAGTTGAGAAAAAAATGTTTTAACTCGTCTTGACGTGACGTCATCAGCTCGCGCATCACAGAATGTAAACAACACTGTATATAGAGTGAACGTGTGGAGCTCACACGATAGAGAAAACACCAAGATGAAAAAATCGAATCCATCTCATTTACCGACGAACACTTCTATTAAAGACCGGGCAAAAAGTGGGGGGAAACTATTCTGCACCCCGTGCAACTGTGTGTTGGAGCATAAGAGAAAATCGACGGGGCGACTTTGATTCATTCAGACATTCTAAAATGCTTTCTGCTGCTGCGGACAAGAAAGCCAAACAACTCACGTTCACCGAGGCATCAACCTCCAAAACCCTTTCGAGGGCTACAAGAAACGAAGTGAGTAGCCTACAAGATTGAAGCTGGTCAGATAACGAACGAGTAAATGAAAACAGAATGAGGCGGAGAAGTGTGTGTGTGTGTGATTAAAATAGCCCAATTGCTTTTACAATAAATAAACATTGAATGTGTTTAATTGAATAGTAAAGGGGTTTAACGTTAGTGGCAGGTTGTGTGTGAGAGAGAATAAATAAGACAGCCCAATATTTAAAAAAATTAGTTATTCTTTTCCCCCGTCCATATTTAGCATATTTCCGCATATTTCGCAACTTTCCGCCATTTCACCACATAAAATCCATAAAAACCCTGCATGTTTAAATCGCATAATCAAGGATTTTTGCCCGCGTTTTTCTGGAGGGTCTATAAAGGGTTTGTTGTGGGGAGAACTTGCATATCTCAAAACTCTACTTGTTAGTCATCTCTACAGAGGCATCTCAAATCAAAAGGTAAAACAAGGATCTGTATACTGTACCAAATCTAATGAGCGACTGAATAAAGAGGACCAGGAGAGATTTGTCTGTTTAGAGGAAACACGGTTCAGTGAGGTCAACGTCCAGGCAGAAAATCACTGACACAAAGTACCATATTTCAAAGAGTCCCAAACTTTTCTCTAGGTTACTATTTTCTTATTGGTTGAACCCGTGTCTTGAACTAATTAAACAGCATCGTAAGAACGCCCGAGCGACCGCAGCCTGTGTGGCGAGTGGTGTCACTATTTGCAAACTCATTGAAAAGCCACCAAAGGCTTCAGTGCTAGCGCTCTGGCTAACAGATGGATCCAGTTATTGCTAATGTAGCTTAATTAGAAGAACTAGTCAATGACGGCACACGTCTGGATCCTGCCTCCTGTTACGTTTATACTACTTTTACTCTTT